AATTGTTTGGTCATTTGGAATATGGCTAAACAACAGAATGCAAGAAGTATTAGTTAAAAGAAAAGCTAAAGGAATAGTTAGTCAAATGATAAAAGATCTCAAATACAACAAAATGACAACAAGCCAAATCACATATATAAACAATATGGTAATAATCCCAAAACTAAGCTATATGCTCCAGTTAACTAAAATTTCAAAAAAAGAAATACATAAAATACATCAACTAATAATATGTTTAGTAAAAAAAAAAAGCAGCTTGTAAAGAACAATAGAAAATTGCATAATAGAATATAAAGATCTTGGTAGATATAGAACACTACAACAAGAGCTAGTAATGAAGCAAGTGAGTAACTTGCTGTCAAGATTGAACAGACAAGACAGCCTAGGTCAGTTAATGAAGCTAAGAATAACACAAAGCTGTAAAAGAGCAGATTTAACAGAAGATATTTAGAAAGTGAAAGAAGTACCAGTTAATAAAATGTAGTAGAAAAACAATTTAGCATGTTTGACAATAATAAAAGCAAAAGAGTTAGAAATAAGTATAAGAACAGAAAGTAAGCTTTGGAGAATATTTGGATATAATACTAAAATATGAGAACTTTTAGAAACAGTTATAAAAAAAAAATAGAATAAAGATAAATGAAGCAGGTTTAATTTATCTAAACCAACTACTCAACATAAAAGATAAGAAGCTAATTACATGGCAACAATTTAAAAACTTTTGCGAACATTCAAGTAAAGAAAAAAAAGCAGAATGGTTTAAAGAAATAGAGTCCAAAGTGTTCAAAGAACCAATGAATAGGAGAATTAAAAGTTACTTTAAGACAAACAGACATAATACTCAAGCAATGAAAATGGTATAAAAGGCCATATCAAAAGATAAAAGAAAAAAAGAGTAGATAATATACAGTACACAAGAAGATAGACAGCTAGAAAACATAATAAAGAAGAAAAAGAAAAAGGTTTTACTAGAGCATTGGCAAATGCAAAGTAAAGAGAATGAAACAGCAACAGAAATTATCAGATGTAATGAATGCATAGAAAAAAAAGAACAGAAAGAAGACAGTTGCTGGCAATGGATAAGAATAAATAACAAGATTAGAGTAGTTTCTGACATATCGATAAAAAAAAGAAAAAAAGAAATAAGAAGATCAAGATAGCTATGAATCAATTGATAGAAAAAACAGAAACAAAAAGTTGAAAGACAATAAGCAGCAACTTGAAGGACTAATGATGCTCAAAAGGTTAGAAATAGAAATAATCAAAAAATGGAAACTAAACGAGACTATTAAACATGAAATTCTGAAGATACTAAGAAGAACCTATTGAAAAACAAAAACAAATATATTATATATACAGATGATACTACAAACATAAAGTCTAAAGAAGAAACATGAGGTAGTAGTATGAGGGTAGGATGGGTTCAAACAAATGAAATGCAAGAGTGGTCAGAAGAAGAAACATCATTAGGTTTAGAAAGATGGATAACATCAAAAACAGCAGAATTAGTAGCAATATAGGTAGCAATCTTAACAGTACTGAGAGAAAGACAAGTAGAAATATATATAGACAATAATGAACAATTAGAAACATTAGTAGAGATTTAGAACAAATAGATAGAATAAAAGTTCATAAAAAAAAAAAAATGATATAGATAATGAAGATTATAGACCTTATTAGTACAAAGAATATATAGATAGAGTTAGTGAAAGTTAAAAGTCATAGCAAAAACAAATAGAATAACAAAGCTGATAGTCTTGCAAAGAAGGGAACAATAAGTAAAAAAATAATACAAATAAAGAAAATTAGTTGTGAAGAGATAGAGTACTGCCTAGAGTAGAAAAACAAATGTACTAATATACCTGCAAGATTGTTATGCAAATTAATAACAAATGCAAGATTAGGAGCAGAATGGAAAGAAACAAATGCAATCAAAAAGTTAGAACCAAATACAGAAGTCATAATTCATGACTAAACATAATTTTGGAAAAAGTTAAAAATGACTAAAGGAGTATATTGCATAACAAGAAGAGATAGTACAAAAAGATGTGTGTTTATAAAGTATATGATAGATAAACTTTTAACCTTAGAAGAACTTAATAGAAGAAAACCAGACATATACACAACAACAGAGTATCAAATATGTCAAGATAAAGTCAAAAAAACACAGTTACATTTAGTATTATGTAAAGAACAATAGAACCTGTAGAAACGAATCCAAAAAGTGACTATTGCAACAGCCTGAAAAGGGTTGAAGAAAGAAAAGAAAACTTGCATTCCACTATATGTACTATATATAGCACTCTTTAGGAAAAATGAAGTAGAAGAAATAGAGATGAGAGAAACATTAATCAAAGACCTAATCTGGAAAAAAACACAAGACAGACTAATATAACTCCTAAATATAAAGGCAAAACAGTAGTTTATAGAGACAGTGACAAAAACAACATAGGACACATTCTATGAACAGATTTGGAAAATATGATGTGAAAAGATCAATAAATGGAAGAAAAAAGAAGACATAACAACCAAAATAAAAAAAAGGAAATAAAGAAGAAGTATCCAAAGAAGAAAAAAAAGACAAATCAACAGAAGATTAAAGAAAAAAAGAAACAAGCAAAAAAGAAAAGAATTAGAATTAATAAAGAAAATAAGAAAACAATGTTAGGACTTGTCATGAAAAGGAGAAGACCCTTTCACTACAGACTTTAAGTAGTTAGACAAGTAGCCTACTTTTGTTAGAAGTAGTGCAACAGGTTGCACTTAGGTACTCTATAGGTGACTGGGTAATGCTAGACTTAGTTGTTAGGTAAATTTATATAATTGCAAAAGTAATTTCAAGAATCTTAATAAAGTACTAGCATGACTGCTTAAGGTAAAAAAAAAAAAAAAAAAAAAAACAAACAAATTTTTAAGTATAAAAAAAAGAATATTTAATTAAGTAAAAACTAACCTTTATGTACTAAAAAACATAATTAATCTAGTCTGTAATCATAATAGTCTAATTTTAAAGAATTAATATAAATTATAAACAGAATTAAAGGCTCAAATCGATAAGTTTCAAACATCACTTGATAATAAACTTCAGATTTTTGTAATGTAATTTATGCTTTCAATGTTCAGGTTTCAAATAAAGACCATTACAAGAATATCCTTATGTCAAGAAAACCCAAACAACTTTGTTTAGAAAATTTTGCCGGCCAATCAAATTACGAGATCAGGTGTAACGTGAAAAAGTTCAAGAAACAAACAATTCCGTAACTCGAAATTTGTCTATGAACTGCGTATTAACAAAAAGTTTTCCTTGTATAATTATGATCCTCTAAACATAAACTACTTGCAATACCCTAACCCTATCCTAGATAGCGATACCACGACCCATATTTTTTTGGTTAGCAGCTCAGGATTTTCTTGACATAAGGGTACTCCTCTTATAAAAAGTAGACTATATCTTAAATGACGATCATAAGTCACATGATACGAGACCAAATTTTTGTGTTACGTATAGATTCTCGCTTTTGATTATTCATATATCTTCTAATCAAAAGCGGACATCACATGATGCGACATTAGATAAAAATACCAATTCCCTTTAACACATTGGCTAGTTAGCTATTTAATATTAGTTTAATATATATTACTTTTAATCAAAAACGACGTTTTGGATGACCGGAATTTACTATATGTCGTTTTAGCCCTGATATCCACCTTTTAAAATGCAAAACATTCACTTTTGGTACTTCTGCACCTACTTTTTTGATACATCTAAAACATACCCTAAAATTTCTATACTTTTTAGTGTGCGTCTGCGGCAAATGATAACCAATGAAAACCACAACTAAATTAAAAATTGAATTTCAGGCACTAATTTAAAGTCAATAACATTTATGAATATCAATGCAACAATATTATAATTTCTGCATTTTTATTTTTAATAATATATGTGAGTATGTAATTTATAATGTATAATTACCCTTTCCCCAAAGCACTGCCGCAAGTAAAAATTCGGGCAACTCGATGCGGCGGCAGTGGATACCCGAACTTCGGAGACCAGCCCGCTTTTAATACAGTATCGTTCTTTTAATTTTGAGATTTGCTTTTAATAAAAATTCCGGTGGCGTTAACACTGAATTATGGACCCATGAAATCTTTATTTATGGAAGTATTAACCAAAATATAATATTGTAATTAATCACGATCAAAGCAAAAACAATCAATATTTAACAAATTTTATATAAGGAGCTTCCAAAAATGCCAATGAATAAAAATTATGTTGTGATAGTAACAAATTGTTTGACTATTATCGCTATTATTTGCAGCACCTTATTTCAATAAAGCTTACGATTGGCTTATGCAAGGCTACACTAAAAAACATTAATATCGATATGTCACGTGAAAAGTATAATACATTATTACAAATAGGCACGTACGTACAAGTAAATTATCTTGTCTTCGAAATAACAAATAGCTAAGCCTTATAAATTTGATTGCGGCTCCTCGTTTCCTTCTATACGTAGCAAGGGGAGTAGAGGCCATAAATTATAAAGTATGTCACCAAATATGACTTTAGAAAAAATGGAAGAGTCAGGACATTCACCATACTTTAATAGCGGTAAGTAATCAAAAAGAAAGACAGTTATTTAATTGCAGTATTACGATATATTAATAAAAATAATGTTTGTGGCGTAGATTTTTCATATCTGGTAATCCTTTTTGCCGGGTTTGAAGTAAAAACACTATTTTCTTTTATAGCCGCCTGTATGTTTATCACACTCCTTTGTTGGTCAGAGAGACTGTTATCATATCGTTTAGAGCATTTAAGATATGAAAGGAATCGGCCGAGATTTAGAACTATTTTATTAAGAACTTTTGGGTATTCAATTGCCACAATATTTAGACTATTTTATATGTTGATTACAATGACTATGAACTCTCAACTTTTTATAATAGTGGTATGTGAATTAACGAGATCATTAAAACTCAATTAAATATGTATCAATTTATATCTTTATATTCTTAAAGGTTGTAGGATTAACAACAGGGCAATTGATTACAGAATATTTACGCTCAACATCGTAAGCACTTTTACTATAAAATATATAATTAATATTATACATTGATATTTAATAAGATTTCTAATTTTCAGTACCTACGCGTCTAAACATAGCATGTTTTGTGGTATACATTCGTCAACTAATTTATCACATAAGGATGATGATGACATACCATCAGCAACTACTCTAGGGAATGAATCGACTAGTGACAAAATTGGATATAACGAAGCTGAATCCAGAGATTTTGTCATCTCTAATATTCAAAGTGATGATGATGATGATGATGATTTGATGAACTCTAATAATGTAGAAATGAATAACGAAAATCATGGTCTTGTCACTAACAGACGATAATACTAATCATCCATTAAAATACATAACACTTTATTAACATACATAGCATTAGAAAAAGCATACTGACCAATAAAATTGTAAGATTTTATATAAAACTTTTATTTTTTTACACGTATGAACATCATCGTATAATTAGTGATGCGGTATATTCATTCCCAATGGATTTTAATACGTACAACTAGTTACGTCAAGGGTTACGGCAAAAACCGTATGATCCAATTGTATCATAAATTAATTAGCTTCGTAATTTTAATTTTCTCTCTCTTTCAATGTTCATGAGTTTTTCACGAACAACATATTTAAGCTCTTCAGATTCTGTAGTTTCAAAAATATTACTGTAAATCGAAATTTTAATAAAAGCGTAATATCGATCTTTAAGCTGTGAATTATATATATAATAATATCTAATTATGTAATAAAAAGGATATTACTAAACGCACATATGGTGTTTTCACCTATATATTTCCAAACCCTAATTCTAACTATAGATGCTTTAATGTAAAAAAATTGTTGAAAATTTATATATAAACCTAGAAATTTTAAATATAAGCTTATAATAAGTTGGTGCAAAACGCATATGAGTTAGATGTAATGCTCTAAAAAAATTTTGATAGTAGGTCTGTTCATTTGGCAATACAATTGTCTGACAGACAGCTAATCTTTGAGGTAAAAATTTTATTTTTAACCTTTACTCGTAACAATAACAATGTTAAATGACATGTTTCAATAACTCCAGACAATGGATTAGACGATAATCTAATGGGTTTAAAGAGCATCTAACAGTTATGGGACATTTTTCCTTATAAAAGCTTAAAAGGTTGTTTATAATAAAAATTATAGTAAAAACATATGAATTTACTATTAACATTGAGCTGAAGATTCCTTTTGACTTTATTTAAGTAACTTAAAAATAAATTTTACAATTATATAGAACAAAAAAAAAAAGAAAAAATATAGCTTAAAAACTAAGTTAAAATTTTGTTAATTTTGTTTATTTTGAAGACGTAATTTCTCCAAAAATAATTATTTTTTAATTTTAAAATGATTATTATATGTAAAATTATGCATTAAACAATTTTACTTATAAGACAAAAAATATATTTTATTAATATAAAAATAAGTTGACTATGTGTTAAAGATAAATATTTTTGTTCATCTATATAGATTTTTTTTATTAATATAACCTATTTTAACTTCTTAAGTAAATCTGTTCAACATAAAATTATATATATATATTTCACAATGCATTTTTTTAAATTTTTATTAAGTCAAAAATAAAATTAAAGTTTAAAAAAAAATTGATTTTTTTTACATTTAAACTTATTTTTCATTTAATAAAAGGTTTAAAAAAATGCATTTTGAAATATATATATATATAATTTTATATTAAACAAATTTATTTAAGAAATCAAAATAAGATTTATATATACTTTCTGCTAAACATGTAAAGTTTTGAAACAAAGTAACTTTTTAGTTAAAAATAAGAGTAAATGAAAAGACAAAATCAGCTAAAGTATTTACTAAAACAAGAATCCTTGTCTTTGTTCTAAGAAAAAGATTCTTTACAGAATTTTAATATACAAAAAGCATAAAAATACTAAAAAAAATACCTCTACTAAATAATAGAAAAAACTTATAAAAAAACAATAAAAACATGTCAAGTTTAACAAACTAAGTAACAGACAAAGATAAGATTACTAAAAATAACTAAAAAGAAAAATAGACATTAAAAAAAATCTTTTTTATAAATTTAGTGAGCTAAGATAAACAAGTAGAAACAGAAATAGAAAAAATAAAAGTTTTTCAAAGTTGAAATAAAAACAAAACAAACATATTTAAAAATACTATAAACAAAACAACAAATAATATATATAAAAAACAGGTAATAACAAACAATATAGTTGAAAATAAAGAACAATAATGCATAAACTAGATAAAACAGCAAATATGCAAAGTAATAGTTTATTAAATAAAAATCATAAAACTAATTTTTACAGTATCTAATAAGAAAAAAATAAATAAAAAAATTCAAAAAAAATACTAACTAAACAGTAATTTATTCTCTTTTTAAAGCTAAGAAAAGAGCAATCAACATATTTCTCTTTTGTTCTTAGAAGCCAAATTAGATCAAAAAATAAAAATATACTAATTATAAATGTTCAAAGCATTTATAATTTTTTTAATAAAATTATAGTTTTATTATTTACTAATCTTAAAGAAAATATTATAGCAATAAAGCAATATTTTACAAAAGAAATATATATATATTTAGAAATTGTATTTGAAAACAAAAACAAATTAAAACATCATACTATTAAGGATATTAATATATTTAACAAAATCTATTATAGTTTTATTTCTACAAATTTGAGAAAATTAAGATTAAAAATGTTTTACTAGGCAATAAAGTAGCAATATCAGATATTATAAAAGAAGTCTTTGAATTTGTTAGCAGAATTGTATTAGTTAAGTCTTTGTTAATTAAAAGAGTATCATACCTTATAAACCAGTAAATTATAATTTTTAAAAACTTGAATAATCCTAATTTAGAAAACAAGTTTTTTATTTTATATATATATAAGATAATAAGATTATAATATAATAAAACTCAGCATCTAAAATATGTTATTTATGTAAAAAAGAAGACCATGTTAAAAAAGAATAGCAACAATTCTAGAACTTAGTAAACTTATAAATTAGTTATTAAAAATATAAAGAAAACAATTACAACAAAAAGTTTTCAATTGACTTTTAAAAATTTTAGAAAGTATTAGTCAAAACAATAAAAAATCTTTACTTATAGAAAATTTTGTGCAACCAAAGTTAAAAGATATAAAAGATAATGCATATATAGATCTAGAAGAAGCTAATTTTAGCTTTTAACAGAACTTGCAGTCTTCTGCTTTGGCAAAAATAGTAGCAACCAATAAAAGTATAGAAAAACAAATACAAGTATTAAATAAAAAAGGTTCATTATTTAGTATAAAAATAATAACAAAAGATAAACTTGCTATTTATAAATATGAATCACAATATGCATCTGCAAATTGCATTCTCAAAATTACTCTTTTTCTTAACAAAATGAAGGAGCAGATAACCATTTTCAGATTTAAGAAATTTAACAATCTCTATATATTCTATATCTCAAAAATCTAATATAAAAATAGTAGACTTAATGATAAAAGTAAACAACAAAATTACTAACTCTTCTAAAATCATACAAATTAAACATAATAATGCTTTAAAAAACTAATCTCAATAATAAAAAAACACAAAAATTTTTCAAACAATGATAGATTTATAATTTAATTTGAATTAAAAAAATAGCAATTCTGATAAAAAATAAGAATATTAAATTTAAAAACATTTAAATAAATTACAAAAAAGAATAATAATAACAGACTTTATATTTAAAGAATACTTCTTCAAAATAATAACTGTTTATGCATTACTGAATATTAGTAACTAAATAATTTTCTTTAATAACTAAAAGTTTTAAATTAAAAAAAATGTTATAAACATTATAGTAGAAAACTTTAATATTAATCTTAATTTTAAAGATAATAGCTTAGCAAAACTTAACTAAAATTTAGCTTTCTAATCTAATAAGAAAATTTGTTAATATAGCAAACATGTAAGTACCAAATCTTTCTTAACTTTTTTTAAAAAACACAAAATAATTGCTTAATGACAACTTGTTTAGATTATATTTTTATAGATAACAATTAAAATTATTTATATTAGAAGTTAGTATATATTTTAAAAACTTAAATCACCTTTTGATAAAATGTATACTCAAATTTGACTAGGATTTCAAGCAGTCTTTAACTTAGAGGTTCAATAAAAAATCTTTTAAAAATAAACTGATAAAGAAAAAGGTTTTAAAAAAAATCCAGAATATTAATTTAGCAAAAAACTAAGATTTTTGTAAGCTTTTTATATAATTAATTATTAGAACTTTCAAAAATCTAAAACTTTTAAAAACAAAATAACAAGACTAAACAAAAACATTATAAAGTTAAACAAAAAGCTTGCACAAACTTATTAAAAGAACATCTTAGTAAATTAATAAAAAAGCTTAATCTTTAAATAAATAAAAAATTAAATAAAATTATTAAATTATGACTTATTTGGTTAAAGACATAATAGATTTAAAATAAAAAAAAGTTAACAAAATACTTTTTCTTAAAATATAAAGCAAGAAAGTTATAAAATGCTCAAACCAAAATTAAATATCAGAAACTTTAAGTATAAAAATAAAGATATACTTTATATATTAAGAACCAATATATAAAAATTTACAAAAAAGAAAATATAGATCCAAAGGCAATAAAAAGATTACTAAATAACTTTTTTAAGTTTTACAAAACCAAAATACTAATTTAATTAAAGAATATTATAAGAAAAAATATCTTAAGTAATTTAAGGCCTTTCTAATAACAATTTACTAGGTACTAATAAACTGATTTACAAATTTTACAAACTTATATTACTAGAAATAGTATTAGTACTTAAGAAGGTTTTTAATCAAGTGTTGAATACTAGCAACTTATTAGACTTATAGTACAAAAATATAATTATATTAATTTTTAAAAAATCAGAAAACTTAAAAGATCTAAGCAACTGATATTTAATTTTATTAGTAAATTGTAATGTCAAAATCTTTATAAAAATTATAGCAAACAGACTTAATATAATTTGCAAAAAAATTACTAACAAGAATTTATTACTAGAAGGTCAATAACAGATATAACTATAAATATAATTACTATATTAAAAAATTAGCTAGATAATACTAAGCAGCATTGAATGCTTTTTGTAAACTAACAAAAGCATCCAACAAAGTAAACTATAACTTTCTGAATTTGGTTCTAAGAAAGATAAACTTTAACAAAAA